ACCTTACAATCAAACCCCAACCTTACAAGAATTAACCACAATCACAAATTCTGTTTATAAACAATAAAACATGTTCAATTGGGTCACAATATCCCTCAATTAACAACAATTAGAAGCTCCAAAGCCAACTATAAGAAAACCCCCAAATTAAAACCCTAGAACCAGAAATTCACACCACAAGCGGAAATTTTCCGCAAACTACCGCAATTCACGTATAAAGGTTCCATTTAATACCATTGTAAACCACTAATCCAAGTCCAATCCATGGCTTTCATATAAACTCAGAAAAATCCCCAATAAATGAGAAAATGGTCCAACTTGACCTAAAATCATGAAATCAACCATAATATAGCATGGTTAACCTTTACAAACCCCTAATTAACCAATATTGGCACCAAAAGAGAATTTCCTTAACAACTCACCTTATGATTTCAACAAAGGTAGAAACATAGGGCTTCCCTTCCAAAAATAACTCCACCAAGACCTCTAGTCCACCCTACCTAGCACTTGTACGGAGTAAATCAAAATTCTATCGGTGAAATCTCAAGTTATAAGTGAAAATTGAAACTAGAAATTGAAGAGTTTTCTTTCTTCTCTCAAAGCCTCGGTTGAACATGAAGCAAAATGAAGATATTTTGGTAGCAAAACAGTATAAAAAGAGGAGAAAACAGGCGGTCAAAGTTGGTGGCCGCCTGTGCCACGTCACAATCCGGCCAGAATCTGGTATTCAAGGCAGTAGCTAAGCAAAATTTTTTTTTCAAAACCTCTCAACAATCCGGCCAATAACTGGCCGGATTTGGCCCTTTTCAATTTTCAGAAAATGTTTTCATTCCAAACGCGAATGTAACGCTCATCCGTTCTTCCAACAAGGATATATACATAGATACATATAACCTCACACAACTACACGTAATACACATAATCACATGTTCATATATACGCAATGAAACCCTCCTTAGAGATGGATAGTGAATGGTTTTCTTTCCAATTAAAAGGAAAAATGAAAATACACAAAATGCTGAGAAAATGTGAAACTTTTAGGGTTCTCACACTCTCCCTCCTTAAAGAAATTTCGTCCTCGAAATTTTCTATGAGCGGAATCTATCAAATCTCAAGTAACCAGTAGCCTGTACCTTCTACGTCCTCAGAAGAAACGAGACTCTTTATTCCAGTCCCTTCTCTAGTTGACGGTCCAGGGTCGGTCTGGGTTGGCTGCTGGGTTCCTTTCTTTTCGTGCAATGAACCCGGGCAATTAGCAATCCGATGCTCGGCGCTCCCACAGCGCAGACATCTCCTCCCCTTTCTCCAACAATCCACTTCAATATGATTGGATTTCCTACAATAACCACAAATTGTCACACCACCCGCTCCACGACCCTTCTTAGCAAATGGCCTACCTCGCTTATCCTGTTCCGGCCTTTGACTCTCAAGAGATGCGCTCATTTTCTTTGCATGGAAGGTCTTCACTTGTGGCCTTGCAATTTCTGTCCTTTGAGTTTTCTCTGGAACCCCCATAGAAGTAATGCTTTGCCATTGTTAAGGCCTCCTCGGAAATCCCTTCGTATTTCCTCTTTAGCTCTAAATTCTTGTGTAAGAGCTCAATTTTCTCTGAATACTTGTGCTTCCATCGCCCTTCCCAGTATTCGACTAGTTTCTTTTGGACTTCTATTTTATCTCGAAGAACCGCGATTTCCTTATACATATCAACCCAATGTGTCATTTCACAGAGTTGCTGGAACTTAGATGATAGCCTGTCGGGTAAAACAATGGATTATAATAAATTCCTAGATACAAGTAGCACTTTCGGTCCTCGTTTTCGTTCAGCTGTTGTTTTCCTTTCTTCTTTTGGCTCTTAGTCTCGCTTAATTCCACGACCACGACCATGCCCACAGCTACATCTTCCTTCCATATTATATTTATTTTTTTTCTCTCTCTTTTCTTTTCTTTTCCCCCCAAAAGGTATTTTAATGAACAAATGTAGTAAGGTGATAAAAGTAATCAAATTCTAGCATACCAAATATACAAATAAATATATACACACATAACACACCATATATCAAGAAGACAATTGGTCAAATACACACATACATATCAAATTAGACAGATAAGAATATGCACAAATACTCAAACAAAGGTCATGTCTTAATAATATAAGGGCAAATCAAAAGAAAAGGCGATATCGTCCCGGTCTCAGTTAAATAACCCCGTCCGGTCTCTCACGTCACTTATCATCCAAACTAGATGTCCATTGATCTCTTGTACTCATTCTAGCCAGACCAAGCCTGTTCATGTTCCCAAATGCAAGTCTCACATACTTAACATCGCTTCAACTCTGGAGTACACGGGTACGAGAATTCGAAATAAGATAATTCACCTCTCGAGCTGGCCAGTCCCAAGAGTAAACCATCTACAATCAGAATTCCTCCCAGACGTACCTATCTATGGTCCTCAGATACTACAAGGAAATTTAAGACCTATAACATTCACAGTTCAAAACTTATGCTCGAACGAGCACTTAATCCTTCATACCTATTCATCACTCAGTACAGGCTCACTCCGCGTAGAGACCACGCGAAGCAGGCTCTGATACCAACTGTGACAGCCCCACCTCCCCCTAAGGCGAACTAGAGGATTCGACGGACCGCCAGCCCAACTCTCGCCGGGACTCAGTCGATATTTTCAAGCAACCATCGAAATAACCATAAGAATAACACAATATCGATCTGATTTAAACAAAACTTATATACATAGCTATCTCAAAAGGAAGTACAACCGTCAAATATACAGAAGTTCTCAATTCACCATACAACCAGCCCGTGCCAAAACCAAGGGCTAGACCCAGCTAGTCTATACAAGCTCTCGTCCTTGCTCGCCTTCCCCTGTTAAGGAAAACAAAACTAAAGGGGAGAGCTAAAAGTTCAGTGAGGTTCCGAATACATAGGCAACAAGAAGTTCAATGCATTCATTACATATTACCAATAATTCAAAATACAAATGCAAAAGAAAGTGATAAATACATTCATTAAAAGGACACGGGCTCACAAGGAGCCATAAATTCGTTCGTTCGTTCGTTCTCCTGACATGTCCCCTTATTCCTCCATTCTTGAAAATGCATTTTATAATTAAAACTCTCGTTCGTTCTTTCATTTCATTCACCCCCTCCTGGACGTTGACTAGACTCCACCAACCTACAAGGTAATACTCGAGTATACCAAATTCACCCAGGGTCACCATATCGCCCGACCGAGTCCGCTTCTGGCTCGAGTCGATCGGTAACGAAAGGCAGGGCTCAATTCAGCCAAAAGGCTTACATCATGCGCAACTAACGTTTCAATCATTAAATCATGAAAAATTTCACATTTATTTAGGTCGAGTGCGATAAATTACACACTCGCCTAGAAAACTCGTTTTGAAAATCATTGAAAGCACTTAACACGTTATCAAACAATAGTACAAGTCATGAAGTCAAGAAGATATAGCAAACAAGGAACACTCACCTAGTTATGCAAAATAACGTCCAAAATGTCCTACCGGATATTACCCCCGGTCACCGAGAAATCCTAAGATTCAACGAGAAAGAATATTACAGTTCATCTAGCAAAACAAGTAAGTGAATTGAAGAAAATCCGACAAATAACAAGGAAAATGTATAAAGACGACTTCTAGTGAAAATAGGGTATTTGGTTCGGAGGACGGAAATAAGTAGGGTTTCATAAACCAAGTGCAAAACCAAACTCAAAAGGGTTATAAAATTTCCCTAACGGAAAAACACTTAAATCAAAGTTCAGTCGGAATTCAACTAGATAGGCTAAGAAATATTGTTTTCGGAAGCGTTTATGTGGTTAAAAATCAATAGACTATCTGCCTTGATAAAAATCATGAAAAGGTGGCAAAACTACCTCACTTTCACCCTTAAAACTTCACTTAAAAGTTATTCACTTGTGGGAGAGAACCCTAGGTCAACCTCTATATTTTGGTAAACAGTAAGTAAACGTTTGGAGTTTCAAACCAAAGAGGTATTAGGTTTTAGAATGGTAAAATGATCACTTTATTTGCCAAGCGGAAATATACAGGTTCAAATAGAAATTTAGCCCTCGGCCACCTTTTGAAAGAGCCGATAACATTTTCAATAAAATACGTCCTATTCGACACAAAATACATTGGCAAAAATCACTTTAACTCGCTCATATTACAAGAAGATAAATGGACGGCATGTCCCCATAAATTATGCATTTTCACCTTACAATCAAACCCCAACCTTACAGGCGTGCGCTGTGCAGCCGCTGCTGATGAGCGCCTGTGGACGCGCAGGCGCGATGGGCTCGCACCACTGGCGTGCAAAGAGCGGGCTTAGGTGGGCAGCTGCGCGCGAACTGCAGGATGGTGGAGGACGAAGTGGGGCTGGGGGGAGGGGGCGGCGAGGTACGGTGGCGATCTAGGAAAAAGAAGGGGAAGAAGAAAAAGAAAGAAAAAGAAAAGAAGGAAGAAAAAGAAAAAGTAGGGCTTCGGGTCCTTGAAAAAAACTATTTTTTTTAGTAAGGGCAATTTCATCTTTTCACCCTTTTTTTTTTGAAGATAAAACGACCAAGGGACCCCTGCATTAGGCGTGGGCACGCCTAATTGCTTACTAGTCTTCTGACCATCCGTCGAAAATTTTTGATCCTTAAGCGTGATCACCTGGCGTGGGCACGCCTAACTACCGTAGAGTCTTCTGACCGTTGACGCAATTTCCTTCCCTTAAGCGTGACCACCTGGCGTGAGCACGCCTAACTACTGTAGAGTCTTCTGACCGTCGCCTTCAAACTTCCTTCCTTAGGCGTGACTACTTGGCGTGGGCATGCCTAACTGCCATCTTCCTGTCACGAAACAACAAACTACTAAATGACACCAATACTTAACAAAAACTCCAAAAACATACGAAAACTAAAACAAATAGCCTTGGATTGCCTCCCAAGTAGCGTTTTTCTTTAACGTCTTTGGCTAGACGTGGTTGGAACCCGTCAAACAAGATAAATCAGATCCTTGAGGTGTATGACTTCAACTTTCTTAACAGAGAATCCTTCATAATAAGGCTTGAGACGATGGCCATTCACCACGAACTTTTTTTCCATCTTTAAATTCTGGATCTCCACTGCACCATAATGAAACATATTAGAAACAACAAATTGACCAATCCAACGAGAACGCAACTTACCGGGAAAGAGTTTAAGTCTCGAATGATACAAGATGACTTTTTCCCCCACTACAAACGCTTTTCTTGAGACTTGCTGATCATGGAAGATTTTGCTCTTGTCCTTGTAAATTGTGGCATTCTCGTGTGCCTCATTTCTAATTTCTTCCAATTCTTGTAGCTGCAATTTCCTCTTGACCCCCTCTTCTTCAAGGTTCAAGTTGCACTGCTTCATTACCTAGAACGCCTTGTGTTCGAACTCCACAGGAAGATGGCAAGCCTTACCGAAAACTAGTTTATACGGAAACATCCCAATCGGCATCTTATACGCGGTGCGGTACGCCAATAGTGCATCTTCTAATTCAAGCTCCAATCCTTTCTATCGGGGTGCACCATCTTCTCCAATATTGATTTGATCTCCCTGTTCGACACTTCGGCTTGACCATTTGTCTGCGAGTGATACAGTGCGGATACCTTGTGGAGTACGCCGTATTTTTGGAACAGGGCAATAATAGTCTTATTACAAAGTGTGTCCCCCTATCACTTACCATAACTCTCGGCATCCCAAAACGGACAAATACGTTAGACCTTAGAAACTCTGTAACTACTCTAGAATCGTTAGTACGGGTGGCTTTTGTTTCCACCCACGTGGAGACATAGTCAACAGCAAGTAAGATGTATAGGAAACTAAAAGACGAAGGAAAAGAGCCCATAAAATCTATCCCCCAAACATAAAAAATTTCAATAAAACAACATAGGGGTTTGAAGCATTTGGTCCCTACGGAAAATATTTCCCACCTTTGGACACTTATCACAAGATTTATAAAATAAATAGGAATCTTTAAAAATGGTGGGTCAATAAAAGCCACTTTCCAACACCTTACGAGCTGTTCACTTTGGTCCAAAATGCCCTCCACATGCAAACGAATGACAGAAATTTAAAATAGAGTGGAATTCACCTGCACTTACACACCTTCTTAGTACTTGATCCGAACATTGTCTCCAAAGGTAGGAGTCGTCCCAAATGTAGTGTTTGACATCACTCTTTATCTTGTCTCTCCTAATTTTTGGCCAACCGGCAGGCAATTGATTAGTCACTAAGAAATTTACTATATCAGCATACCAAGGTGCAGACGAATCAACGGTAAATAGTTGCTCCTCTGGAAATGTCTCTCTCAATGGTTGTTCTTCCTTATGTGCAAGCAAGCAGCTCAAATGATCTGCCACCAAGTTCTCTGCCCCACTTTTATCTTTAATCTCCAAGTTGAACTCTTGAAGGAGCAGGATCCATCTAATGAGCCTTGGTTTCGCATCCTTTTTTGTCATCAAGTACCTTAAGGCTGTATGATTAGAGAAAACCGTTACTTTTATACCCAATAAATAAGACCTAAACTTCTCTAATGCAAAAACAATAGTTAGTAATTCTTTCTCCGTTGTAGAGTAGTTAAGTTGAGCTCCGTTCAACGCCTTCGATGCATAGTAGATCACATGTGCTGTCATGCCAATTCTTTGCCCTAACACCGTTCCTACTGCGTAGTCACTCGCGTCACACATTATTTTGAATGGGAGGCTCCAGTCTGGAGGTTGAATAACGGGTAGTGAGGTTAACGATTTCTTTAATTTGTCAAATGCCATCTTGCACTCCTCGGTAAAGCCAAATGCTACATCCTTTTGCAACAGCTTGAACAGGGGCGCTCGAATTTTGAAAAAATCTTTGATGAATCTCCTGTAAAACCCTGCATGACCCAAAAAGGAACGCACTTTTCGTACACTTATGCGGTAAGGTAAAGCAGAAAAATATCGCCTTTTGTTTTATCTACCTCTATACCCATAGCCGACACTACATGTCCTAAAACAATACCATACTTCACCATGAAGTGACATTTTTTCCAATTAAGAACTAAATTTGTCTATATACACCGTTTCAAAATTAAAACTAAATTATCAAGGCATTCTTCAAAACTATCTCCATATACACTAAAATCGTGCATAAATACCTCGGTAATCTTTTCTACATATTCAGAGAAGATACTTACCATACACCTCTGAAAAGTTGGCGAAGTATTGCAGAGGTCAAAAGGCATCCTCCGGTAGGCAAACGTACCAAATGGGCAGGTGAATGCAATTTTCTCCTGATTCTCCGATGCTATTGCGATTTGAAAATATCCTGAAAAATCATCAAGAAAACAGTAATAGACACAACCAACCAATCTCTCTATCATCTGATCAATAAAAGGGAGAGAAAAGTGGTCCTTCTTCGTCACAGCATTCAGACGCCGGTAGTCAATGCACTGACGCCATCCTGTGGATTTTCTCATTAGGACCATCTCGCCCTCCTAGTTCTCTTCAACGGTTATCCCCTCCTTTTTCGGGATTACTTGAATTGGGCTCACTCAAAGACTGTCTGAGATGGCGAAAATAATTCCTACTTCCAGAAGTTTTAGTATCTCCTTTTTAACTACCTCCATCATTAGTGGGTTCAATTTTCGCTGCGCCTGTCTTACCGACTTTGCATCATCCTCAAACCGTATCCGGTGCATGCATAAGGATGGACTAATTCCTTTGATGTCTACTATGCTCCACCCAATCGGCTCCTTATGAGATTGAAGAAGACGAATCAGGTTGTCTTCTTGACTCGAAGACAGGTGTGTAGAAATTATCACCGGTAGTGTCTCCTTGTCCCCAAAAAATGCATACTTCAAGTGTTTTGGGAAGGGTTTAAACTCCAGCTCGGGTGCTTGCACAACAGAAGGCAACAATTTTGTCTGAATTTCAGGTACAAATACAGAAGGGATCTTATACCTTGAGAAATTGGTGGAAGTGAGTGTAGTGCTTCAACAGCCCGATGCAACTCATCACTTATTTCTACACTGAGAGTTGCTCCCAACTCAAGGTGCTTCACCAAAGCCACTTCCAATGCATCCTCCCCATCCAGTTTTAATGTTTCATGTACAAGGTGTACAATAACACTCAAAGTAAAAACAGAGTTAGATTCCTCTGGGTATTTCATCGCATCTACAATTTTTTTATCAAACTCCATTGATAAAGTACCCTCATTTACATCTATTTTTGTCCTATTAGTGCTTAAAATTGGTCTACCTAATAGAATAGGTGACGGATTTAATGACCTTTCATCCCCTATATCTAGGATATAAAAATCTGCTGAGAAGACTAATTCATTGACCTGTACCAAAATATTTTTAACTAACTCTTCTGGATAAGTATTGGTACGGTATGCAAGTTGGATTATATGCTTGTGCCTTTTAATGGGTCAAGATTAAGAGACGCATAAATAGTCTTAAGTATTACATTAATCGACGTCTCCAAATCCAACGTCACTTTTCTAATTGGGGTACTTCCTATTTTACATGGAATTATGAACATACCTAAGTCCCCACACTTTGGTGGGAGTTTTTTTTGGAATATAGTCGACACGTTTTCTTCCACCGCCACTCTTTCGTCACCCCTTAGGTTCCTTTTGTGGGTGTACAAGTTCTTAAAAAATTTAGCATACTTCGGTATCTGTTTGATTGCATTCAACAGGGGGATGTTAATCTCCACTTTCCGGAACACATCCAATAGCTCTTTCTTCTTCTCTACCTTTTTTGTCTTTTCCAACCTGCAAGGAAAAGGAGGTAAGTTAGATTTAATATGGGGTGAAGAAGTGAGTGTTACCTTAAGATTATCACGAATGCGTCCTTCCTCTTCAATCTCCTTTTCTATCTCCTCCACTTTTGCTTTTCGGATTTCCCACTTTAGGTCCCTCCACTTCCTTGCCACTCCTTAGTATCATGGCACTTACATTTTGGGATTTGCCTTGGGTTGCGATGACAATTTACCATAAACGTGGAACTCCAGGCGATTAATGGCAGTTGTTATTTGGTTCATTCGAGTCTCTATATCTTTCATGCCTGCTTTGGTGTCTTGCTGGAACTGAGTAGTGCTCATGGCCAAACTATTGACAATTTTCTCCAAAGAACTTCCCGAGTTTGAGGATGAAAATTGAGACCTTGGTTGCCATGGTTGCTGAAACCCTGGTGGACGATTTGGAAAAGAATTTTGTGGCCTATTCCTATAGGTGAAATTGGGATAGTCTCTCTAACCGGGATTGTACATGTTGGAGTACGGGTCATACTGCCTCCAGGGCGCGGGCACGCTTCTGGCCATGTTTACCTGTTCCGCCCTATCCTCTTGCAAAAAGGGACATGTATCCGTGCAGTGGTCCATGCTTGTACAGATTTCACATACCTTCGCTCGCGGCGTGTTCCCCATGGCTAATTGCCTAATAGCAGACGTCAATTCTGACAGTTGCTGCTGAATGGATGACGTCTCTACCTCATTAACCTTACGAGTCGGATTACTCTCACGGTAGCCAAACTGCTGAGAGTTCTCTGCCATGGCTCAATAAGCTCCCACGGTTCCTTCGGTGTATTATTTGCCAGTGCTTCTCCACTCGTAGCGTCAATGATCCTCCTGTCAGTTGACTGGAGCTCTTCATAGAAGTACTGGATCAACAGTTGCTCACTAATTTGATACTGCGGGTATCTAGTGTACAACTTGTTGAACCTTTCCCAATAGTCATACAAGAACTCCCTGGGATACTGTTTAATGCTGCATATCTCCTTCCCGGGATGCAGGGAAGAATTTTTTTAAAAATTTCTTTTTCAACCGTGCCCATGTGGTGATACTACCTGCGGGTAGGTAGTATAGCCAATCTGTAGCTGCATCTTTGAGTGAGAAAGTTAAGACTCTTAATCTAATTTGCTCCTCAGTGACATCAGGAGGTTTCATGTTAGAGAAAATCATTTCGAATTTCTTGACGTGTTTGTGAGGTTCTTCACCAGAGAGACCATGGAACGAGGGTAGGAGGTGAATCAACCCCGATTTCAACTCGAAAGAGATATTCTCAGCCAGAGTTGGGAACGTAATGCATAAGGGCTGGTGAGTCAATTCCGGGGTAGCCAGTTCCCTTAATGTTTGGGTGTTGACCATGTCAAATTCGTCTTCTACTGACTCGTTTGCAGTAGATAATTGCCCTTCTTTTCATCTCTTGGTCTTTTGTCTTCGTCTACGCGCTGTCTTCTTAACTTCAGGGTCGTATATCAATTTACCTATGCGAGAAGAACGGGGCATAAACTAACAAAAATACCAAGAAGAAACTGAATTAAAAAAGAAACAAATAATTCAAATGCCAGTCCCCCGCAACGGTGCCAAAAATTGACAAGTGTCGAACCT